AATCACTTTGAGTTGCTTAAAGTGATTTAGGGACTGATGATTAATTTTTCCCTCATTGAAATTAGTGGGTTTCACATTTCCATCAAATTTCACTTAACTTTACTCTCCAAAAGGTTACCGAATAGAAATAAATATCTTCCTCAAATGTAGTGGCAAATAAGAGCTTATGTAGATCATCGAAAATTCTACTATAAAGGCGATTTGGGAGAGGCTTAAATTGCCTTGAAACTCACATCTTCCGTGTTACCCAATGATACAAATGAGTGATTTTCAGTGGCAACACAAAAAGGTTCGTGCTATCCGGTCTCGGGGGTGTTAAGGAGACCAAGACAAAATTCTAGTCCATTCTGGATGAAGAAATATCTTGAAAAGATAGATTAAATGAATATTAAATGCATCGTGATAACTATCTGTTTTATTGTGGGTAGATTTAATTATCAATCATTGAAGCGCACTTAGTAACCTAAGATGTCTCAAGTTCTTAAACTAGGAAACATCCCTTCCAATAAAGGCGTTTATGGGCGTAGAAACAACCAGGCTAAATTGAGTAATGCATTATATAATACTGTGATTCAAGTTGGCATATAATTAGATAGATTGATTATTGAAGCCCTTTTAAATAAAAACACACATACGCTGTCAAAGTGATAAGACCGCTAAGCCAAACTAAAAACGGCGTAAAGGACATTCTTCTACAATTAGCTTTCAGGACCAAAGCCCCACAAAATATGATTATGGCGTATTTTGCTGTTCTTTGAATGCAAAAAATACGCAGAAACCGAAACCAATCCATCCATACCGAAGAGATAAAGTAACATAAAATTGGCTTACAATAAGGGTGGCTAATAAAGAAGCCGATCAGAGATGCACGCCTAGATGCCTTAATTGGGCCACATAGCTCACCCAATCCATTGTAGTGTTAGTCGCCAGGGTAAATCTGTAGCTCGTTCATCCAGTTGTGATGCCACCTTTAAGTAGTTTAGGATACCGTCCACTACACGTGTTTGCAATTTAGCCCAGCCGGTCGGCATCAAGGGCCATACAGCACTGGGCACGTGGCGCCGCCAAGCACCAAGTGGAGTGGTAGTCGTTCCGGTAGAACTATTCGTTATTGGGGCTATCCTAGGAACACTATTCCACGCAGTGAAGCGAGTAGGTTGATAAGAGGGAAGCAATGTGAAGAAAAAAGGGTGCTCAAGCCAAAATTTGATGTCTAACGGTCTGTCGACCAGAGGTACAGGCCGATTACGGGCCTGGATCAACAGGACGCTATTAGAGATACAACTCTTTGGAGCGATAGCGGTACTCCTGGTATTGCAGGAAAAAATTGAATTCCAATTTTTTGATTCTAGGCTTGGGCAATTGGTTTCAAGGGCTCCGAAAGGAAAAGGACCTCCTAACAATTTGGTCTTCAAAAGTTCCGATTGTCCGGTTATATCATCCAGACAGTGATTAAACTCCCATGCCTGGGGCCACCAAGTGGTATGGAGGAATGTAATCAAATCTTGACGAAGCAGGCTGATTTCGGCGAGAGTTAGGCTGATACAAGGCGACCGGAGGACGCGTAGTAGTGGTGGTATGGCTGGCCAGGAGATAGGAGGGTCGAGTGGCGCTCCTAAGCTCTCGACTCCGAGTGAAGATCTAGGCCCAGAGCCTGACAACTCCTCATGACCAGCGGTTACTTCAATGATTCGATGTCCAGCCAACATGTAGTCCAGTAGATTATGCACAATAATAGGCACCTTAAAAATATGAAAAGTTATGTGAGCCAAAAGAAAGTTCCATTAAAAAAGCTAATCCTACCGGCAAGAAAAATATGGCCCAGCGAATAGCCCTTGCCGAACAAAGTCTGGAGGCTTGAAATGAACAATAGGTAAATAGGTATCAAGGTCTCTCGTAAACAGAGCTTATCGAGTAAAATGACCTCAGGTTATAGATAGTGTAGCTTTATTCCTTCAAAACAGCTCAATGCTTGAGTAAAATGTTTAGTGTAATGGTAGAAGAGCTTTCAGCAATGCCTTGAGTAGTAGTACTAATGTAATACTATGGTCTGAGGGCAAAAAAGAGTACCTTATGAGTAACTAAAGGGATTTAGGCAGCTCTAATCTGAAAAACTCTCTAAGAGAACAGTTTTTGGAATTTAGCAAAACCAACGAATAGGTTAATTAAGTAAAATATTGGCAAATGTGAAGAATAGTCAGAATAAAAGCTATGAGTATTAATTCAGCGTCATTATTATTAGTGTGAAGGCTAGAGAGAAGGCGCCATGTGGGGAAATGGCACAATAATTGTTCCGATTATGCCACGATTCAACATAGACTATCTTCTAAATGATAATCTCCTCAAACTAGAGTGATGGAAAATCCATCACATTTTGATTAAATATCTTCTGCAAAAGTTAAGTATTATGTGATGTATTCACCATATTTCGTTTAAGGTGATGAAGGTAGTAGAATTTTTCCACAATGATATGAGTAGAGGTGACGTTCCCATTGAATTTCACATTGTCTTGGTTTCCAAAAGTTGCTCTCATCCAGGGTGGACTGCAGTTTCGACCACGCATCAGTCTTATCAAAACCCTCAGTGGGAGTCAAACCGTGACAGTGTAGAATGTGAGCTTGACATTTTAACCACTCGACCACATTGCCACGAGTGCCCTGGGGTCCCAGGGCATAAGTGAATTTCAAGGAAGGCCAGGCCGTTTGTCATATCACATTCTTTGGTGGGATTGTCGATGAGGCAAACGTATACTTGCTATAAAAATCGACTACGTTACTTATTTTTTGAATTTAAGTAGGGCTTCGAGACTGCCAGTAAATCAGTAATATGATATGTATTTACCCCATTTCCTTTAAGGTGATGAAGGATGGTAGTAGAATTTTCCCACGATGATATGAGTAGAGCTAACGTTTCCATTGATGTTCACACACGTTTGCTTCATCGACAATCCTACCACAGAATGAGATGTGAAAAAAGGCCTGGCCTTCCCTGAAATTCACATCTGCCCTGTGACCCAAGGGCACTCGTGGCAATGTGGCCGAATGGTTAAAGTGTCACACCGTGGATGATAACAACTTTTGGAAAAGTAAGGCTGTGTGAAATTCAATGGAAACGTCAGCTTTACTGATATCATTGTGGGAAAATTCTGCTACCAGTCCTTTATCACCTTAATACGTCTCATATTACTGATTTACTGGTAGTCTCGAAACTCTACTTACATACGAAAAAAAAGTTAAATATATCTGAATGCCTCATTTGGATACGCCGTTTGGACGAGATAGAAAGTAGGGATAAATAGTATTGATTGGCCTCAGCATATTAAAAGGAGGATAGCGAAAGATATAAAGAGGAAATAGAGACAATCACTGAGCCAGTGAATTTAAACGATTGTCATGGTAATTTCTAATGTATTTATTACTAATATTTTCAGAATTAATACAATTTACATTCTAAATTATGGAAAACTGGTACTGTTACAATGAAAAGCCTGGCCGTAGTAGATGTAAATTGGTACAAATGACAGAATGTAAATGGGCATGTCTGATCATGGCAAGGTGAAAAGCAGAATATTAAAAAATGCTAAACATGATTATCCCTTCAAAAAACAAAAACGAACTATCAATTTATGACGGTGCAACACAGTTATTGGTACATAAGACTTAGTATAACTGTCAAAACTTTAAAAACTAGTATAAGGAGGACATTTAAGAGTTTGTAAAATATAATAAAACAGAGCTGATGCCGTACTCTTATCTAGTATCAAAGGCAAGGTAATCGTCTTCAAAGCATAAATGTTAATCACATAGTCTTATGCATATGGGGTCCATAGAGCTAACTCCAAAGCAAGAAGGAAAAAAAACTGGCTTAATCACCTTAAACTAGACAGGGTGAATACATCTAATATAAACGATTATAAGGCATTACATGAAGGAAACCATCGAATTCAAATGGAGCACTATACAAGGAAATATGAAATTAGAAAAACTTAAATTCTCTCTCAAGTGGCGGCTACGGCCACAAATTAATATAAATTATAGAAATTCATTCAGAAATGACGACTATTTTGGTCTGAAAATGAGAAACGACCTAGGCATCTGAGTTGTCATTTTTATGCTATTTTACAGGCTCTTAAAGATTAGAGGCATAAATTGTGTACTGCAATTTAACTTCCCGCAGAATATCTAAAGCAAAGCCCCGGATAAAAATTCAGTAAGAGCTTACAGAGTTGACTAGTTCTAACATGGTCTGAAGACAGAATATAGGCAAGGTCTTTTTGACTTAGTTTTCGTTCATAAGTAGGTTTTCAAGACTACCATTAAATCAGTTATATTAGATGTATTCATCCTATTTAGCTTTAGGTGATGAAGGACCGGTAGTTAAATTTTCCCACAATTATATGAGTAGAGCCTTAAGTCAAAGCTTTAATAGACATAAGTTCTAGCTTCGAAAGTATCTGCCATATGGCTTCTGATAAGATCGTAGAAAAAATCTCTTCATCATAAACTCAAATACTAAATG